GCGCTTTCTATTATAGTGTGACAAAGCTCTGTCCCTGTTTCCCAGTTGTGCTCCTGACACCCGTTAAACAGGCTTCCAATGGAGAATAGAAGTGGCCGTTTCAAAGCACGTTACACAGGCATGTCCACTGTTTTCACCATCAGACACATCCCTTGGAACTCCCATAGAAGTTAATGAGCTAAGGGCTATACACACCGAACAGCTCCCTTCTGTGAATAAATGGGAATTCTTTACCTCTTGGAGATCCTCTGTAAAGTGTATATATGGCCCAAACTTTATTTTTCTTGAATATAGCAGAAAAAGATAAGAACCCATGTCCAGCTATATTACTTCCTACACCAGCACTGTGTAGATTCACCATCTCTAATTGTCCTGGTGACCATTATCCAAAATGTCCCATCCAAAAACACTTTTATTTTTGTCACTGGAACTGAAGGTGAGGGTAAAACTGATAACAAGAGCACTTTTTATGGGGATAACATTCTGAAATGGGATTTCACCTCACTTTGGAGATATGTTCATTTCGATCTCCAGACGAAGTCAAGGGAAATCTCCCCAATGGGACAAGAAAAAGCAAAAGCTTTCACATCCAAAAATATACAAATCCAAAAAACCTAAACTTTTGTTTTTGTCACCGGAACTGAAGGTGAGGGTGAAACTGCTAACAAGGGTACTTGTTATGGTGACAACGTTCTGAAATGGGATTTCACCTCACTCTGGAGATATTTTCATTTCGATCTCCAGACGAAGTCAAGGGAAATCTCCCCAATGGGACAAGAAAAAGCAAAAGCTTTCACATCCAAAAATATACAAATCCAAAAAAAAACTAAACTTTTATTTTTGTCACCGGAACTGAAGGTGAGGGTAAAACTGATAACAAGAGCACTCTTTATGGGGATAACATTCTGAAATGGGATTTCACCTCACTTTGGAGATATTTTATTGTCAATCTCCAGACGAAGTCAAGGGAAATCTCCCCAATGGGACATGAAAAAGCACAAAAAAAACATTGACAGGGGTTCTAAACCCTTTCTTTACTCTATTTAAAATGAAAACGAAATATTATGACTATACATATACAGTACTTTGAACTCCATTGATCGGCATTGACCAATTGTCTAATCAGATGTCTATACAGTGAACACTATGGGGTTAATTTATAAAAGTTCTGCCTGCCATATAGCCAAGTGGATGCCATTGACATGGCAATAGCCCCCCTAGATGGCTCTATACTAATCAGTACAATCTAGGGGAGCTAGTGCCGTGCAAACATAGCCGGGCTGAATTTTTATAACCGAGCCCCTACATGTACAGGGACAAGGTTTATTCATTCTGAATTGTGGGCTGTGAACACCGAGCAAACATAATGCACAATAGCTGTTCATTTTAGACAAATTAGTAGAGTTTTGTGCGCTTGTTTAGAAGCCTTTCGTTTAATTTTTTATTGTCTGGTTACAACAGTTCTACGATGTGATTGCTAAGTGCTTTATGCTTCACATTTCAAGAGCAAATGGGAGAAAATTGTAGAAATTTGAAGGAAAACACTGTACATGATCTAAGTAAGTCAAGTTACTGTTTGTAATGCTTTGCTTAGACTTGGATTTGTGCGAATAGGGCCAGCTCTAAATATATTTAATGTAACCCTATCAGCTATTTGTAGATTTTAAATCAAAAAGTCCTGCCTTTCCAGGATGCATAGGACAGACACCAAAAGGCTTCTATTATGTTTGTTAGCCACCATGACTTTGATCTTTCTAAGCCAGTAAAAGCTCTCTTCTGGGCACCTCCTCGATCATGGTTTCACCTTGACACTATGCTTCCCTAACGTGGGATTAAACACAGCCCCCAGAATATAAGCACCAATCAGAGTGGCTAACAAACAAAATAGAAGCCTTTTGGTGTCTGCCTTTACGCAGGGCTTTATGCTTAAGGGCACCCACCAGAAGGCTTCTATTATGTTTGTTAGCAACTCTGACTTTAACCTTTCTAAGCTAATCATAAATCTCTTCTGGGCACCTCCTCCATCATGCTGTCACCTTGATACTATGGCCATCAACTTCGCTAACTTGAGACTAAACAAAGCTACCAGAATGTAAGCACCATCCACCTAGTATATGTCCTCCCCTGACCCTGAGAAGAACTATGGGGAAAAACACTTACCCCATAGTTCTCCTGTAGGGCTAGGTTCACACCTAGGTGATTTAGACGATGAGCTGTTTTCGCGCGATTGTCTTGCATTTGTGTTCATGCGACTGTTCATTGAAAACGATGCGGTTCTCGCGCGGTTTTCAATGCATAGAGAGGTCTATGAGACACAAACCGCGTGACAACTGCCCGAAAATCGCTCCCTCACCTTTTTGCGCGGCAGGTGATTTAGTCCGCGCAACAAACCACAAAGGTGTGAACCGACTCCATTGACTTCAATGTGAATATGTGTTTTGTGCGATATCACGCGACCCAAGCCGTGCGATAAATCGCCAAGTATGAACCTAGCCTTAAGGACAATTCAAAGCACCACAGCATACAGATGCATTGCAGTGCGCTAAAATAATAGGACATTTCAGTACATTACCGAATGCACATTAAAATGTGGTACTTTGTTTGTCAGTGTATGTTGCATTAAGGCAGCTCTTTCATGTCAAATGCATATTTTAAGGAGCATGCATAATTTTTCAACAATTCAAAGCACAACAGCCCCCATATGCATTGGGCTGTCTAGGTGCATTGGGGTGCCATTAAAAATTAAAAGGGGAACACCATGCACCATACTATGTTTTGTTCTTTACAGTAAAACACATCATACTGCCTGTTACAGCAACTCATTAACCTAAATGGGCCCGAACTATTTACTTTTTGGTTATATGAGAATTGTTCTCAACCTTTGACTAGCAATAATGTAACATCCCCACCATCACTGCAAGCATTAAAAAAATGTAAAGCACTGGCATTACTGGTAAAATAATTGCACAGAGACTATCGGGTCATTATACGTATGTCCGTGTGCGGCGATGAATAAACCTTTCTCATTCTGTAAACATGCCTATTTAATTAAGAGATAGGTGCAGCCAGATTTGTGTCTGTTCTGTCCTGCAGATGAAAATATATATTGTGAATTACTGTCCTACTGTGCAGGAGAGATTAGCTGCGTTACAGAAATGTGAGAGGATTGGATGATGATGAAGGCTGTTTAACAAAGCAAAGAAAATGACCATTTCTTCAAATGGGAATCCTTTAAATTATTAAGAATTATAGCTTTCCGTTCCATTCTTACTGTGCTAATTATCATATCAGCATCAGATTTCTGCTTCAGAATCCCTTAATCCTCCGTCCCTAAGGCATCTTTCTGTATAAGCTCCCTGATTGTGGAATGAAATACTGTATGCCCTCTAGGTATGATGTTCAGTACAAGGCTAGAGCATTTTGGCTCAAAGCCAAAACACAGAGCGGCCATCATCTTTGCCTTGCTGGATTTGGTGTAGACGCACACTGGAGGTCTTCAGATGGCTTGAGGGAGTCTTGGCTGCTAAAGTGTTGTACCTTTAAAGGAGCAAATCATGACATTTTTAATGGCATTTGCTCATGCCCAACATATGGAATATTGTTTCCTCTACCACTACCCATGATGCCAAATGCCACTGTGGTGTTCAGTACAAGGCTTGAACATTTGGGAACAAGGCTAAGGCACCAAGAGGCCACCATCTTTTATTTGCTGGATTTGGTGCAGATGCACACTGGAGGTCTTCAGATGCCATAAGTCTAGTCTTCTGAAGTGTTGTTGCATCTTTAAAGGCACTCTGTAGCAAACAACAAAACTTTGAATAACCGCTGTCAATGCAACTAATATAGTAACTAGTTACCTCTCTCACCGACCATGATGCTAAATGCCACTGTGGTGTTCAGTACAAGGCTAGAGCATTTAGGTACAAGGGTAGGACACCAAGAGGCTGCCAACTTTGCTTTGTTGGATTTGGTGCACACACACACTGGAGGTCTTCAGCTGCCTTAAGCGAGTCTTGGATTCTAGAATGTTATTGTACCTATAAAGGGGACTCTGTAGACAACAATGAAACTGAATAACTAATGCCCATGCAGAAAATATAGTAAATGGTTATGTATCCCATGCCCATTATGCCAAATGCTGCTTTAATGAAGGGAAAATGCAGACTGAAATCTCTTCAAAATTAGTTTTTTCAGGAGTGCTGTTGATTTTGATGGTTCCTCCCGCTGATACAGGGATCTCACCAGGCTGGGTGTAACCCAGCGCACACATCATTATGTTACACATAACGCCATTATGCACATGCTTAATGGCATCAGATGCACTTCACTGCCGGTGGCCATCTTGGTGATGCATGCCGGCAAAAAAAGAAGGGGACATTCATCTGGTGGGATTAGGGAATGCCGCCGGGTCCCCTCCTCTCTCATGCAGCTGTTGGGCTCTCGATCCATGAGCAGGTGCCTGACTTTTCAGAGGGGTGACACCATAATAATGCAGTCATTTTGGTGGCACCCCCTCTGATGGTGTCATCTGGTGTGGGACACAACCCTTGCACCCCCCTTGTGACGCCACTGCGCTGACCCCTATATAACTGCAGGACACAAAAGTGTGCCAAGTTGGGAGCTCAGATAGTATAGAATTGGAAACCGCATCTTGCAGAGGTGTCTTGGTGCAGTCTCTAGTGTGGCTTCACATGTGTATTTATCTAGGTACCCGAAGTTTAAAGAATATTTATAATATATTGCAGCATACTCATCCCTAGTTTGTTTTTGTTTTTTTGGGAGTTTTATTAGGCTTTTTTTTTTATTTTTACCATTGATCCTGCCAGGAACTCACTTACTATCCTATGCTCACTCACCATACATTATCTATGGAGCAGCAGCATTGCAACTCTAGGACATGACTACAAGCTTCTCCCCCTCTCTTCTTATCCTTAAGAACTCGCTGGGAACAATGTAACTGATAACTGTCAGCATATGCAGAGATCACAGGATGTTATCAGCTGACAAGTTTCTGTCAGGATCAACTGGGTATTATTTGCACTTATTGAACAGATACAACAAAACACGTTCCATTGTTAGGGTTTACATACAAGTAAAGAATTTATTGTAAAATTCAGTGAACACCTTTGCGGTTATGAATGAAGCGCACAAAATCTCAACAAAAACCTTTTTTTTTCATACTAATTAAAATAACTGGAGATTTTTCAATTATTCAATCAGCAGATTGTTGGCATCCATACAGTTGAATTACTTGTAATCAGCGGAATGAAATATTTGATTGGTTTTGTAAATGGACACACTGCCAAAACGTTCATTTGTTGAGTGACAGATGTAGAGTTTGAAATCAGGTTTTGAAAGTCAAATGACTTCATACCAACATACATCTGTTGGTGGCTTCAGTAAGTTAGCAAAGGTGTTGTTTAGGTGTCACTGATCCCAAAAGTGATATTAAATATGGGCATGGGTTTTTTCCTGTCCCCACTGCAGGGCACCGTCACCTGCTTACCAAAGAGCAGAATGCCATCATCACTCTCTTTTTTGGAATATACAACCCCACCCCCCATCCATTTATCAGAGTGCGCTCAATACACACCAATTTGTCTTTTCCTGGCTTCTTATACGATATATGACCAAACGTCTGTGGATGCATGGCCATCAAATCTATGCGCTTGTTGGATGTCTATGGGCATTAATTCCAATTCTTCCCAAAAGTGTTTAGTAGAGTTCAGTTCAGGGCTCTATGCTGACCACTCAAGTTCCTACACACCACCCTCATGATACCATGGCTTCATGGAGCTGGCTTTGTGCTTGGAGTCATTGTCATGCTGGAACAAAAAAGGGTCTTTACCAATTGTCTAAAATGTCTTCATATGTTTAAAGGAGAGCTTTGAGGTGAAAGATTTTCACTCATCCTCATAGTTAGAGCCGACCTGTGACAAAGAAGCTGTCACACGTCGGGTCCATTGATCGGGAAGTGGGCAAACACATACAGTCGTATTCTCACTTCTCGATCATCTCCCTGCAGATGAGAGCAGTGAATGTCAGGGGTTGGGCACAGCTGGCTCTGCCCCTAGATAGGCAGAGCCCGCTGTCAATCAGCCTGCTGGGTGGATTTCGCTAGTATTATCAGGATCCGTCCCGGCTGCGGGGCTCTCAGTATATAGGGAGTTGTAGCTCCCTATATAGTGAGCTTTGGGTCACAGAAAGGAGGTTAGTATATGTCCTACCGTGACCCTAAACAGAAATATGAGATAGAAAGATTCTCTTTTAAGCATTTACTGTACACTTCACAAAAAACATCTGGAAGAGTATCCACATAATGCTGCCCATATATTGTAGGTGTGATAGGTGTCTGCAAACTTTTCCCAATATAGTATACGCTTTGAATATATCCAACATATCTCCTTCTGAATACTGACTTATTGGGGGTTTAGAGTGTTCCTGCTCACTCTTTGTGTATTCCAGCTCCTTACATTTTCTATAATATAAAATAAATACAGATTAAACAGGGATGGTGGGAAGTCCTCATAATGGGCACAAGTAATGTGTAAAACTCAGAAACTCAGTGCATTGATCTCACCTATAAAGTCCCCAAAAGAGATATAAGGAACTGTCAGGTGGTTTAACTCTTCGACATCTACCAAACACTAAAGTAGCAGCGTTGGTTGGACTGACCATTTACAAAAGACCTACAGTCTAATTTACATCTTTTCTATAGTCTCTAATACTACTAACCAGCTATAATAAGGCTGAGTAAGGCAGAAAGGCATCAACACTTGTTCTTTGTATAGATGCATGTGGAATAAAGTTTGAATTTCTTTGGAAGATCATCGTGTGCTGGTTCTACAGTTTTTGTCTCTAATACTAGAGGTGTTTAGAAGCCCAGATATTGCCCGAGCATATTTTCCTCATTTTCTAAGGCTGACATGGCTGCTAATGTGCTGATATCCGTAACGAGACAGCCCGAAATAATTTGAATCTGGGTGCCTTTTCAATAACAACTTTACTTTGATCAATTCTGCGTCTTCATGTTGACATATTCCTTTAATTGTCTATATTTGGCTTGCTATTGGTACATGGAAGTTGTGATAACTTCACAAGAACTAATGAAGAACGGAAAAGTTGTAAAGTCTGCGATGACCTCAGAACATCTGAAGTGCTAAAGCAGGCATGATATTTCCCGCTGTGGAAACTGTAACATATTTTTTTTAACAGTAATTACTGTGACTTTGAGTTCCAAAAAACAAGTTTTTTTAATGACTTTTTGATAAAGTATTTTTCTCTCTTCATTAATGGTTAAAGTGTACCTATCATTCTTTCATAATTTAACTAAAACCAAGCCAAATCCTTTTTTTTGGGATATACAGGAGAAAGGTTAGGACCGCTCTTATTATTATTATTATTATTATTATGCAGGATTTATATAGCGCCAACAGTTTGCACAGTGCTTTACAATATAAGGAAGACATTACAATCACAATACAATTCAGGACAAGATGGTAAGGAGGGCCCTGCCCCTGAGGGCTTACAATCGTAGGTTTTTATTCCTCTCTGCTCCCCGTTGCAGGTATTTAACCTAACTTCCTGTCAGGACAGGAAGTGATGAGAAATCTCTCCCATGTGGACACAGACAAAACTAAATTTTTAGTAGAGTGGTTAAAGGTAAAACCTTCTGACAATGCTATTATAGCTGTCTGCTCTTGTTCTTGCCCTGGTGACAACCGTTAAGGAAGCAATTATATAGCCTAGACTTGTAATTAAAAAATAACGGCAGTTCACTAGAAGCTGGTGACATAATTGTGGCCATATTCTATAGCATACAATCTCATTTTTAATCTTATGCCATTAGGTAAAAACATCCAACTCAGTCAATAACCCTGCAGACCCCAGAATAAGTCCACCAAGAGTGTCAGCCATATACCTAAAACTGAAATACAAATGCTTATAGATTCCCGAACCATAATACCTATGTGAGATTATTGGACTTTCATTACAAAATCATGGTCATTATTATGCATTCCACTCCTATCCTTTGTGGCTATATATATATATATATATGTATAGATCAATTCTATGAGTCAATCGATTTAGACTCTGTCAAGGTAATCGGCTGTGGGAAAAACTTGTCAAATGCTTCTGCTCTATTGAACATATACAGTATTTGTGCTTTTCAGGAGAAATTATGGAAAATCAGATTGAGTAAGTGATCATTTTTTATAGGTCATTTACATTTTGATCATATTTTTTATAAATTTTTCCATTGATCGCAAACTGCAGAACAATATGGTGTTTGTAGAATTTTTGTTGATATCTTCATTTATGATGAATCGCTTGTTTGCTATCAGTTGTACCCAGATTGTTCACCACCTTAACAACCTCCACTCTTTCCCAGGATTTTGGATTGTCTGTGGGAATTTGTGTCCATTTAGGCAAAAGAACATTTGTTAGGTCAGGTACTTGAATGAGAAGACCTGGCTCACATTTGGCATTCCATTGTATTTATTACTAGTACTTATATAGCGCCAACAATTTACACACTGCTTCACATCCAGCATCTAGGAGTACCCACACAAGCACAGGGAGAACATGCAAACTCCATACAGATAGTGTCCTGACCAGGATACAAACCGGGAATCACCAATGCTGCAAGGAAGAAGTGCTAACCACTAAGCTACCCAAAGATATCTGTACAAAAATTAGTCAATGCAACTGGATTTGCTGTATTTTTTTTTCTTGAAGACGTTTCACTGGTCATCCAACCAGCTTTCTCAATTCAAAATAACTTGTACGAACATTCTCTGGGAATAAATATGGTGAATGTTGCTCCAATCCTCATAATCTGTTAGTCGCAACCATGTGTTGATTGCATTTGCATAGTTGCTCTATTTAAGCTTGGCTTCTCCATTTTACTTAAATGGCCTCTTACACACCTCTTTTAAACCAGTCCTCCTCCCTGTCTAGGATGCATACTTGACTGTCTTCAAAGGAAAGTCCTGTTCTGTTCAAGCATGACTTGAAACCACCTACCCAAAGATGTTTGGTAGGGTTAAGGTCAAAACTTTGTGAAGTCCATTCATGTTCCTCCACCCCCAACTCATCAACCAATGTCATTATGGAGCTGGCTTTGTACACAGAGGCACAGTCATACTTGAACATAAAATGACTTTCCCCAAACTGTTGCCACAAGGTTGAAGCTCACAACTATCTATAATGTATTTGTATGTTGTAGCATTACCAGTGCCCTTCACTGGAAACACCTGATCTCAGTAATTTGGTGGGTTGTCCACATACTTTTGGTCATTTAGTTAAAGGTGAGATGGTCCGGTATTCACAAATGTTTGGCCATGCAGTGTATGGACTTGTGCGCCGTCAAAAAATGTGTTCCGTTTCGTTTCGGAATATCCGTTATGTTGTATTTCGTAATTCGTGTCCGAAACTCAATTCGGATTCGTACGAAATACAAATTTTTGTTAGTTTCGGCACATTTTCCTAACTGTACGAACATTCGTTATGATGAAGTTAAAAAGCAAAAATACCTTTGTTAATATTGGAGTCGATGTGGTAGTTGTTTTTTTTATCCGAAATACGAATTCCGTTAACGGATTCCGGATCCGAATTTCGTATTAAAAAAAACTACCATCAACTCCAATATAAATGTACTTTGCTTTTTAACTTCAATATAACGAATGTTCGTAACGGAACGAAAATACGTCAACGGAATTTCGTATTTCCTGCCTGTGTATTGTAATGCAACCCTCAGCAGCAGCGGATCCGTATTTCGGATTAAAAAAAAAATCTTGTCATGTTGTTCAACCTCATTTACCGTATTTCGGATATAATTCGGAAACTGCAATTCAGATTTCGGATGCTTCCGAATTTACGAATTTCAGGAAAATTCCTACGAATTTCGATTCGTAACGAAACGAATCGCACATGTCTAGCAGTGTATGCGTTTTGAGTGAATTGCTTTTTAAAAGATGTTCATGTATTATATTCTAATGTGTTTAGTACAATAAGCAGCTCGTGGGTTAGAGTATAAAAATGCCTAGTCAAGTGTATAGCAATTTAACCCAGAAAACTAATTATTTTTGTCTTTTGTTATTATTTTAGAGTATAAAAGTGAGCTGGTTACCACCCCCCTCAGGAACGCAGAATGGATTTATTTCCGGGTACAAAATCCGCCACAGAAAAACCACCCGACGGGGGGAGCTGGAGACAATAGAGCCCAATAACCTTTGGTACCTGTTCACAGGTAAGAGTTCCATAACACTTGTGTCATCAACACTGTAATCTTGATAAAAAATTCCTGAACAAAAAAAGTGACCACACAGCTTTCTATAGGCATCCTCCTGTGTCTACTTCCCCTTTGTACAGCAGGTGGTCACTGAAAATTATGAACTTTTTGAGTTTTCTACCACATCTTCCTCCATCCCACAATGCAGTTCTCAATGGTTAAGCGACCAAGGCCGTTCCTTGTCATGTGAGTGGGTACATGCCTAACTATGTACAAATACTGACTTTTGGATATTAGATATTTGCAGATGATGTTTAGGGGCGCTGTGTTGAAGTAAAGGGGCATGCAAGGGGCATGTGGTCACTTTGCCTTTCAGGAAGCAAATGATAGGTCTGCTTTAAAACCAAAGAGCTCTTTTTAAGAAAGTCAATCCTAATTTTGGACAGTGCTAAAATATTCCCCATCTATAAATCAATTCAAAATATAAACACTTTTTTTTTTTGGTTTGTGAATTGATTGAACTTAAAGATGTATCTATTTCTGTTTTGGGGTTTTTTTTTCTCAGTAAGGATACTTTTGTATTGTATAAAATTAGTTTTATTATTGTTTTGGAAAATATATTATATGACTATTATTTATTAGCTATTAAGTCCAAAGAAAAAGAAGGAAAAAATGCCATAACTTGGACCTGCATGTTTTTATGCTGTATATAGCTCACATACAAACCCCATATATTATCTTCCCATTGAATAACATTGGCAGCAAGTCCCATTTATTACTGGCCATTGACTGAGTAGTATTTATTAAAGGTAAAGCCAGGCCGCTGATATTTTCATCAGGAGGTCATAAACAGCAGCCTCCATATTTCTTGAAGAACCATTTTTCTGTTATTTATTAAAGTTAATTTATTCAAAGACTAACGGTAAACAGCAACTTGCCAATAGCTGCAAATCAGAGCTCAGCTAACATGCGTTTATAGGTGCCGCGTCGCCTCCGAGCACCTCACACTATGAATATAGGAGTTATAAAACTAACAAGCCCAATTTATAAAATGTAGCAGATAGAAATCCTGTGCAGGCAGCCGTCATCCTTCTTCATAGACACAGGACGTCTCTGTGAGCTGTAATATAATTCACGTTATGAGGAGCATTATCTCATGTAATATCACCAGGCACTGAAGCAAACAAAATTACTGTGGCATCACTGAGCAAGTGCGCTGTATGTAATCTTGTGTGAAAGTATCATCTGGAAATAATGGAGTACATCAAGTCATATGGGTACAATAAGTGTCCTAATCAAAATAGTTAACTTAATAGACAGACTCACTGATAAGAGATAGAGAGATAGATTGCTAGATAGATACATGGATAGAGAGATAGATAGATAGATAGATAGATAGATAGATAGATAGATAGATAGATAGATAGATAGATAGATAGATAGATAGATAGATAGATAATGGATGAATAGAGGGATAGATAGATATCATCAGGAAATAATGGAGTACATAAAGTCTTATGGGTACAATAATTGTCCTAATCAAAATAGTTAACCGAATAGACAGACTCACTGATAAGAGATAGAGAGATAGATAGATAGATAGATAGATAGATAGATAGAATGGCCATATAAAGAGATGATGGATGGTTGGATAGATAAATGTTAGATAAAAAGAACATGGCTGCTAACTAGATAAGCTATAATGATGAATAGCTAGATGGATGGATAGATAGATGGAAAGAGTGATGAAAAAAAGCTAGATAGATAGATAGATAGATAGATAGATAGGTGCATCCCGAAATCAGGTAAATGAGATGAAATGTGTAGTCATGGCTGCCTCCTTTTTCAGGGCTGTTTTCTCTAATAAGACCACAAGGCTTGAAAAATAATCTATTACATGAAAGAAGATGCTGTGTAATCCTAAGTGATCCCTCTGGACTCCCCGATATACAGAGATCATGTGACATGGAGAGTTGAGCTGCGTTCCCCTGTGCACGCCCCCTCCCGGCTGAATGCCGGATATTTATCAGGATTGATCTACATATTAAGCTTCTATTATCGGAATTCAATGCCAGGGCCAATCAGTCTGTCCGAAGGAGACATATCATTGAGGGCCGGGGATGAAGAGGAGGATGGAGCTAATTGAAAAGCAAGATGCATTGATAACACAAGGACACTTATCTCTCTTCTATGAGGCTGATATTATGAATGTAGAAGAAAAAATTAAAGATTGTCTCCCTTTCTCCCTTCTCCTTCCATGCTGTAGTGCAGAAATCATAAAGGAGGGAGGGAATCATTAACTGTGAGTCAGTTCTAGAAAACCAGGACGGATGTTGCTTTATGACCTCAGATAGAGACATATCTTTATGTACCGGGAGTGCAGCAGATCAATTACAGACTGATATATGTGTGTGATCGCCTTACCATTCCATCATTTAATGTCATTAAAAATCACTTTAGTATGATTTTCTGAATAGATTAATGTATTTTATTGCACAGTCTGCCTTTGTAATTGGTCTGCTTCTTCTCTCACATCTCTATAAAGAGAATCTAAGGTTAAAGTAGAACCCAAAAAACTTTTTTTTCTCAATTTTTGGATGCACTGGGGACACCTGTCCAACTGTCACTCACGCACCCAGCACTTATGCCAGAGGGGGGAGACAGTACTCAGCCCTTCTGGGTCTGGCACAGTTTCTTGCTACAAAAAAATGTGACCTGTTGATATTTTTTTAGCTGTGATTGTGTAACATTGTATTAATAAAGTGCACCCGCATGGGCTGATCAGGAGGGGATCCGTGCAGAGAGACTTCCTTATGTGTCTCTGAGACAGGAAGTGAAGGGAATCATTTCCAGTGGAACTATTCTAACTATTCTAAAACTAGGAAAAAAAATGTTAGACTTTCAATATCATCTAAGCGTTTAAGTGAAATGTTCTTCTTTTGTGAAATTGTTGTCTGAGCTGAGTGTGTATTTTTCCCGGATAATGAGACGTCTGCCATAGCGGGGAAATTGTACTTGTATTAACGGCTAAATATCTTACAGGAAGTGCTTTGTAACTAACGTGAAGGTACTTTTTTAATGTTAGTATTTTCTTCTTGGTGGATTATTTGGTATTTAGCTGCTTCATTGGATGGCTTCAGTACATTATAACCCACTGTATAAAATAAGTCAATTAGCTGCAGTATAGGTCTGAAAGTAAATGTGAAATATCAAGTCCAACCTATTAGTTACATTTGTATCTACAGTAAACTCCCAGTTATCTGGGATTTGTAGTTTCTGGTTGCTTGAGAGTTAATAGTAATTCTCATGTCACTCTCGGGTCCGCTCCTCTGCTCAGTGGGCAGGTGCAATAGATAGCCTGCTATTGGCTATTGCAATTTGAAATAGCCAGTAGCAGGCTGGCTATTGCTCCCCATTGTATAAATTAATTTGCCGACTGCGGAACCTAGCCGCCAGCAGGTAGCAAAATGTAAACAGAGAATTTTGTCAGCAACTAAATACATTTTGTTGCTAACAACATTTTTGAGTGTGCACATGTTTATCAAGCAACCACAAAAAAATTGAGGCCATATTATGTTCCCAAACTTTGCTGGTGACTTGAGAGTGCTGGTTGCTCGAATGCCGGATAATGGGGAGTTTACTCTACTTTATCTATCTATCTATCTATCTATCTATCTATCTATCTATCTATCTATCTATCTATCTATCTTCTATGTCTATCTATCTTTCTTCTCATTTTGCTTGTTGCATTTCTCTTTCCAAAAATCAATTTAGGCTAATTGATTGTTATTTATATTAACCGGTGGCATATTTGGCATTTTGTGTTATAGGTCTCGAGAAGGGCAGTCAATACAGTTTTCAAATCTCTGCAATGACAGTTAATGGAACTGGACCTTCATCTGATTGGTACACAACAGAAACACCAGAAAATGATCTTGATGGTAAATGAAACCTTATAACTGTTTTCAGCAGTAAGATTTAGAGATCAATAGAAAAGCTCACATTTATGGCAACATTTCAGTGGATTAAAAACTGAAATCTGACTAGTTTACCTTAATGCAGTGTGTAAAATCATTCCCCTTGTTGTTTTTGCTAATGTTACTATTGAATAAGATTAATAGTTCTTTCTTTATGCCCCTTTTAACTTTTGCATGGAAGTGCCATCCCTGGACATAAGTATATAGATATAGGAGTTTGTAAACCGGTGACGAGCCATGTAAAGTTAGGACAATGCCTACTACCCACCATAATTCTTTAACTTTCACTGGCTCAGTATCAGGTTCTTAGACAATGCTACAGATTCCTGAGTTATCATTGGCAGTTTAGAATCACAGCTCTATTTTCCATACCAGGGGCTTATTTCAAATTGGCATTGACAATACTTTAAAGTAGAACTATGAGGATGAGTGAAAATCATTCATCCTCATAGTTCAAGCCGACGGGTGACAATGAAGCTGTCACACGTCGGCTCAATAGATCGGGAAATGAGCAAACACGTACCGTCGCTCGCCCACTTCTCGACCATCTCCCAGCAGAGAGCCGTGACTGTCACTCACGTCTCTGTGCAGGGATTCCCCCCCCCTCCCGGTGCTGACTGGAGAAACGGACGGAGGAGGGGGCGGGTACAGCTGGCTCTGCATCTAGATATCCCAGCTGCGGCGGTCTCAGTATACCGTGAGCTGTAGCTCGCGATATACTGAGCTTTGGGTCACGGGAGGACGCTAGTATATGTGACCCTAAAGAGAACTATGGGAAAAATAATTACCCCATAGTTCTCTTTTAAGGAAGAGTGACTACCTAACAGATGACATAAGGAATGGGAGGAATGCAAATAATAGTATCACCTGCAATCCATATGGATTGCAGGTGATACACTACAACACTGCATAGTCTATATGAGCTTCCATCTTGGGGACATACACAGCAATGAATAAACTGAGAGCAAATGAGCCTTGAAGGAAAGTCCTTTCCTCCTTAAGGTTGCAGGGACATATGTGCAGAAAAAGTGACAGCATCAGCATCACCATCTTAAAGTGACATGGCTGTACTCTGTACAGGTTGCTTTTGGAGCCCTTTAAACCTGAGGCCAGAAGTACCTCTATCCCTGATGGTATATAGTAATTAGAAAGGGTTTGGTTTTTAAACCAAATCTAAACCAATATAACTAGATTTGCTCTGATAACAAAGAGGCTAAAGCTGGCCATTCATTGATCACATTTTGGCCATTTACAGCTGAAATGTCTGAAATTTGATCCATGGGTGGCGTTGCTGGCACCACCCAGTTCGATAAAAGTCATTATTTTTAATTGACTTTAATTGAAGGAGCTGGGTGGAACATTTTGGACTGTACAGTGACTTCAGCCAATTAGTTCTAGTTGGGGCTTTATAGGTGCCAAACCACAGCAAATTAGAAATGAACCAAACTTTTCTTTGAAAAGCATATGTTTATTAAAAAATATAAGCTTTAATACTTGCTGTGGTTTGGCACCTACAAAGCCCCAACTAGAATGTATATTTGCCTCTAATATTGAAGTTTCAGGGGGGAGAGGGGTTTTGGTGCCATCTAACTTGGAGGCTCAATACATTTTTATATGTGAATGCAGCCAATTAGTTGGCAATTGACAGCCACAGGTGCCCGCTGTCACAATAGCCTTGAGAGAAGATCACCTTCCCCACTCTCTTTAGCGTGGATGGGGGAATTAAGTGATCTCCTTCATCCTGTGGAGCTAAACAGTGGCGCCACAAGAGGGGACGGGGGGTGCGGCTCGCCCCGGGTGACACCATCATCATGTTGGTGTCACCCCCTCTTAAAAATCAGACAGACGGTCTCGGACCGAGAGCCTGACAGCGGCACAAGACAGAAAAGGGGACCCGATGGCATACATGATCCCGCCAGGTCAATGTCTCCTCCTCTCTTTTCTGGCATTGATCACCAAGATGGCCGCAGGCAATGAAGTAAATTACGGGGCATGCATGATGACGTCACACGGTGGATGTCATAACGCATGTGCAGCAGCCGCACTGGGTGACACCCACCCTGGTGCCGCCACTGGAGCTAAACAAAGAAAATCTTAAGGTGTATGGTCAGCTTTAGGCTTGCCCTCACCATAAGTGTGCACCCTTGTGAAGTAAACAAATTTAGAGTGCTTTGAGAACTTGCACGATCATAGCTATTACACCTTATATATCAGTTTTTACCAAGGCTGCGAAATTGACAATACATTTTTCCAAAACAGCATGACGGAGCAAGCTAAAAAAAAATATAAGATCGATTTGAGAAAGCACAACAAATAAAAAAGTACACTGCGGTAAAAATAATAAATTTGCCTGCTGCAAATAACTTGGGTTAGCACTAGAGTCTATCAGTTTACTGACACAATCAGGATAGATTGTGACAGAGTTGATATCCATGTCTGCAATGCAATAACAGGTGAAGAATACCAAAAACGCGTTATTTGTTCTCATGTTTTTCGGGAGTATTTGGAACAGGCCTAAACAGGAAAATAAAATAAACAAGCTCCAGACTTTCACTTCCTACCGCATGCAATATTAGGGCACGCTTTAAGTACTTTTGCATGGAAGTTTCAATTTTACTGATGTCACCACTCCGAAGGGAGTCCGAAGGGAGTCACACACACCCCTATTAGATGCTTAGACTCTTCAACGTCTCAGCCAAATATACATAGCACTGCCAGACAGATTGTTAACGGCGGTTACATTACAGCTTGCGGAGCGCTTGTTTCTTCCTCTCCCTCACTGTACGTGTGATGGAACGAGACAAACACTACGTCTTAGAGCGAGTCTCGTTCCCTGCGGATAGGTCTTTTAATTAGTGTGTTTTGTTAAAATGACTTGAAGGCCCAAAAATGCTGTAGAGTGCAGACTCCCCGCAAGGCTCCCATGTGTTTGTTGACATCTGGGAGGTTATCAAATATTTATATTCAGCCTGGAGATTCCTGCGCCACCAACGCACCCCGAGTGTTATTGCCCTTAAAGGGTATTTTTTTCATTTGGCTAAATGATGACGCTCAGGGCACCTAAGGTGAATTTTTTTCTTTTTTACTGAACAAATTGCTCCAGCTGCGCTTAAAGTGACCCTGTCAGCCTTTTTAAATACAATGATTGCCTTAAAGATTTAACTCTTACCCTGCCTGTCACTGCTAAGTGACCACCACCTTGTCCAATAGGAGCTCCTTAGTGGCCACTTAGAATACTCTTATTAGATGAGGCATGATGATGGGTTGGGTTTATCTACAAAGCCAGGCACTCAAGTAATAGAATTAAAGAAGGAGATGTTCTTCCTAATAAAGGTAACACAAATTCTCTTTGTAGCCTGCAGTAAGGTTGAATTTCTAGTTTAAAAAGCTTAAAATCAGTGAAAATTCCCCTTTAACCCATTAAACTACTGCAGCAAATTGTCTTTCACATATTTGCTGCCCCATATATTTAAACGTTTTAATGATTTATAGGATGAATGTCATCGATTGTGTAACTAAGTAATTGCTAGCATAGATGATCAGTACATACAGACTTCTTATGTCACCCTGATCTGATTTTAACTTCCGGACAAACACAGTGATGCCAACAGAAGGCTCAGGAGAAAGGCATTGCATCTAAAGAGGTCTGCATCCATATCTTAACCCTAATCTCCACCTAGATAATACCGGGTTTGGGTTGTGCGGTACTCAAATATCATACCTCATTTCAGAAAATGACTTTAGCGGATTACAAACCTATCCATCAGATGATGCCTTTGCAACAAATGTAGGGCAACTTGTATTTGCAGTGGTGTTTCATGTTATACATGTTAATTAAGCATGAAAGCCATGCTTCCACAGTACACCAAACCTATACGGTCTTCTTACAACTGTGCCCCTTTAGGAGGTGAGTTTCGACAGACTATGATGTTATCTAACATATCAGAAAGTAACATTGACACCAAACTCTGCCCAAAAACTTACCACCTTAGACATACCATAGTACCAGAGGTGGGGCTGTAGTAACCATAGTGGCACTTGTGGGCTGATGCCTAGGGCAGCAGGGTTAGAGGGGAAACCAGCAAGCTGTAGGGTTTACAAATTTTTTTTTCTTTATTTTTTTCTGTCCACCTTTTGGATATTAGTGGCTAAAATTAGCAAGAGAAGTGCAGGGAGAAAGGGGTGCAGGTGATGTTGAGAAGATTCAGAGGACTCTGTATAGTTCAGAAAATATGAAAACATCTCTCCTTTTTCTTATTTGGTGGTCTGTGCAGGTTAAAAGTACAAATATCCAATATACTATATGGCCAAAAAGGTTTAGACATCTGGCCATCACACCTATTTGACCTTGTTGGAGATCACATTCCAAAACCATGGGAATTAATATGGATTCCCCTCACCCTTTGCACCTATAGCTGGCCTTCTGGAAAGGCTTTCCACAAGGTTTTAGAGTGTGCTTATGGCAATTTGTTCCTATTCAGTCAAAAGAGCATTTGTAAGGTTACATAATCATGCTGGGTAGGAAGATCTTTCTCACAATTGGCATTTCAATTTATCCCAGAGGTGTTTAGTAAGGTTGAGGCCACTTGAGTTCCTCCTCACCAAATGTTTTAAACCATTTCTTTGTGGAGGTGGCTTTGCACACAGAGGCAAAGGCATGCTCGAACAGACAAGAGTCTTCCCCAAACCAAGAGGTTGGATGTGCACAATAGTCTAAAATATCTTTGTGTTCTGTAGCATTATCAGTACATTTCACTGGGAACACCTCAACTCAGTCCTTTGGAGGGGTGTCCATATATGTAGGTGTGATGGTCCGGTGCCAACATATTTTTGTCCAAATATTGTAGCTTTGCAAATAGCAAATTCTCTCAGTTTTTACTCAAATATATACATGACGCAAGGCATCACCATTTAGTTGAGCCAAGTAAAAGCATGATATCTGAATATAGCTCTGACCAAAGGTACAGATTTTAAGTAGAAGAGGTACGGACAAAGAGGACAATTCCAAAAGACACCAATACCTCCATATAAAAATGAAAAACAAGGGACTTTTTTCTTGAGCCTCTTCCATTACAGGTCACCATTTTAGAAAAATGATAGGTACACTTTAAACTAAAATGTCATCCTGACACCCCTGACTAGATTGGTGCCTTTTATGGTATGTTAGAGGGCTTAAATGTAACTTTTCTATTCCCTTGGATAACATTTCATCACCAAACTCTTTATCTGCTTCAATCTGAATAATACATGCCATTTAAATTTCCCCCAGGGCTGCATACATTTTGGCCAAAGAAACTGTTCAGTCATCAGTAAAGTGAAGCTTCCTTCCCCCCAATTAGGGTGGTTAATAGAGATCTCTGCTCCGAGTGTTCATTACTGCGATGGGTTTTATTTCTGTCTCTGTTACAATTTAATTTCCCTTTTATTAGTCAGAAAGAGAGAGCAGACTACCACATGTGAGCACAATGGGCCTATTTTTTCAAAATGGCTTAAAGAAGAATTGTTAGTACTACTTTTCACAGACGGTCACATTTTCCTTTTCATCTTCCTAGAGGTGGTCAATGTATTTGATCCTCTTCACATCTCTGCCCTTTTGGAGCAGTAAAAGCTGAATTCCATGCAAATGTAAAATACGTATAACAACACATCTCCTTGTTTATTAGAACATTGTTATTTTTATGCAAGCAGTGAAAGTTACTGAATTTGACCACATATCAATCTCTTGCAACCACCTGTACAGTAGAGCTCGAGACTGGGGAAGGGAAAGGAAACAATCAGTTGGGCTTCAGTGCTTACATGCTAGCAAGGAGGAGGAAGAAGAGTGGCAGAGAGATGAGCTCAACAGTATGCTGCTTCTCATTTCACTGTCTAGTCACTGGCTGTGGGAGGGGCAATAATGTTAGTTAAGTGATGCAGAGGAAAAAAAAGGCCACCTGCCCTGCCAGACAGGGTGGCACTGTGTAGTAGAGCTGTCTGTTCTTAGAAATGGATGGACAGAAATTCAAATTCTTTGGCAGGTAAACGAGTTCTTATATGTATTTCATCTGTGTATTTACTGTTCAGATTCAAATTATGAGATGTGTGTTTTATAGTCAAGTGTACTATACACATCTCTATGGGGGCTTTTCACAAGAGGGTGAAGAGTTTGGAGAAGGCAGGACACGGGAACAGTCTGGGACAAAAGCGCTGAACTGGAAAGTGAGCTGAATTGGAGAATTTTTCCAAATCAGTTATTTTGGCCTCGATTGTTCACTTCTCCTGCCTTCTCCAAACTCTTCACCCTTTTGTGAATAGCCCTGTATGTTTGCATCCTATATGTTCTTTCATGGCCTTGCAAGCTGCATTTTGACATGCATCTGTGATAGCAGTGAATGTAACTGCATGCAAAAACACAAAATGGCATGCATTTTAATACAGTAGATGTACCATCTCTCATGCATTATGAAACCTGTATATAGGTATACCAGAATGACGTCCTTTTGGGTTTTGGTCATTCTGGTATACCTATATACAGGTATATTTCAGGAACCAAGAAACATGGTTTTCCTGAAGGTACTTGCTGCCTTATACCTTTGCCCAGCCCTTCACTAACCAATCATGAATGCATTACTTCTGAATAGCTGTGTTCATACTCATTACACTTTGTACTGCCCAACCCCATTAAATAAACACAATGCTAAAAGTGGTCATATGTCTGTGAAGGTTCGCAGTTATCCAGGTCATGGTATAGCTACTAGTAGTCACATTCAACTGGGCTTGTTCTGTAATTTTGTAGATGTCTTGTAGCTTCTCCAAGCCATTTCTTCAGTTCCAATGAGTGTCAGGAACATACCCCAACATTAATACCCACGCAGATAGCACAGACACCTTACTCCATTCACCATGGAATGTATAGATGTCCAGAGCCAAGAAGAGGATGAGAGACTTCCTGACACCAAGGATGGGAATAACTAGAACAGATCGGTTCTATAACTTCACATCTTGTTCTTAGACAGTCAACTTACACATTCCACGATGATTGCATTCCACGAGGATTGGGGTATCTTCAATATAACTGAAGGAGTGGCTAGGACAAGCTATGAAACGTCTTCAACATTAAAGAACATGTCCAGTTGAATGTGAATAACTACTACTAGCTATAAAAGCATTTAAAACAGAATATTAACTGTTTTCCTTGCCAAAGAGAATCTGCCTCAAAACAAAATGCCTGTGTAAGAAGCCTGTGGTGGAAATTGCCTTCCTCTGGAGCAGCTTGTAATTACTTTAAGCAGGTTCCTGATACCAGGTATTGACACCTTTTTCAGGGGCTTGTAGGAAAGGTATTTCACTTGTCATAGTTTTTCTTTTGTCTGCATAATATGCTACATCATGTTATGTTGCATTATGTTATACTATTTTATTTCTATAACATTTCATTTTCTATTGGTTTTGTTTCTGCTTTATGTTACATTTGTAATTAATTTTTATTTCCACCATAGCCTACTATATTGGAAATAGTCAGTCAGTAGAATTATATTAATGTTTCCTCTGCTCTCCTAAATAGCCCGCTACAGAGTACACTTTGAGAAGTAGAGATTCTAATTGTAAAGACAGCTTTTGGGAATACTTCACAATCACTACAGTCTGTCTTATGATGGCTTGGCTTATTCATTATTGGTTTATTTTACTTTAAAATTATATGTTGCTACTGTGTTGTAAGTGTCTTTGATGATGCCAAATATTGGCTTGCCCCTTCGGCTCTCAAAGACACAAGCTTCTATGCGATGCTCTTAAAACTGCTTACAGCACAGCAGCATCCCTGTTGTCAGACACTGTGCCAACATAAGACACACGCCTCTAGTAAGGCAGTATGCCAAGAGGGAAATTTGTACTGGAGACACTTCAGTGATGAGACCAAACCCTTTGTGTGTGCTTGTTGTTGGTTAGTAGGGTTTGCTATGCAACTTAAACAAGATACATTACCAGGTATTACCACCATGGCACAAAAGGCTTTCTATTCACTTGAATAGTATTGTTTGAAGCAGTGGAACGCATAAACCATATTAGACAGGCTTCATGTTTACCATATGATATATTTCAAATAGGTTAATACAGTTATTTCATGAGATTTCAATAGAAATCTAACAAATTTGATTTCTGATAAATTCTTCTGATATAGAGGTGAGCAAATGGTGAAAAATGTGCCCACTGGTGACCAACCTGTATGTTTAGTTTTACGGGGTAACATATTCCCCGAACCCATGGAATTTTTTAACATTGTTTTGTCTACTTTAATAACCCCCCCTTGCCATTGTACTACTTACCAGTTCACTCCCATTCTGCCTGAGCCTGCATTCTCATGTCTAGAGGTCAAAGAGTGAGGAAAGCATATAGGTTTGCCTATTAAAAATGACCGACTGTGACTTGGAGAATTATAAGAAGGAGCTTTCCTTCTTTGTTTTCATTTATTACCACATCTTTTCCCAATGGGTAGTAAAGTTCCTTATTGGGTAAATCAAGTGTATATGTGTATATATATATATATATATGTGTATGTATATAT